GGGGGGGTGGGGGGGGGGGGGGGGGGGGTAGGGGGGGGGGTGGGGGGGGGGGGGGGGAGTTTAAAGAACGGGCAGCCAGCTCTAAGAGGAGATGGTTATGGTTGCGTTAAACTAAATGATCGACATGTTTTTAAGAGAGCAATTTTATAAAAATTATGTGACCGGACAAAAATTGAGATTTATTAGCAAGGAAGCATGTATGGAAGTCTGATGTGTTTTAAGAGGTGGGGAGAGAGAGAGAGAGAGAGAGAGAGAGAGAGGAAAAGAGAGAGAAAAAAGAGGGAGAGAGAGAGAAGGAGTGAGTGAGGGAGAGAAAGAGGAGAGAGGGAGAGAGTGAGGGAGAGAGAGAGAGAGAGAGGGAGGGGAGAGGAAGGAATAAAAGTACATGTGGGTGGGTGGGGTAGAAAATTAGTATAAAATATTGCAAAATTGGTCTCCACATCTGTTTGGTGCAAAGTATATTAAATTTTAGTCGCAGCTTTTTTACCATTTCCTTAAAGATCGATGGCTTTAATTAATATATCATGTGCCTCCTATGGCTTACATATATCTAGACAGCGAAGGGGAAACTGCGCTAAGACATGCCAAATAGCATATGTTATCCAGATGCGAAGGCTGCAATTTCAATAATTAATTGAAGACTATAAAAACTGCAATTGCTGTGGTGTCATAGTTTGGCAAGCACCTACTGTTTGTTGATAGTGTTGCTATGGTAACTGGTATGTGATTGTGGATTGATATTCTATGTAAATAACCACAGGACATGCAGGGAACCCATTATTATGTAATATAAAGAACATTTTCACATTGAGCAATGTTCTATAAAGGACAAAGCTGCAAGAATAATTAAGGGAATGAAATGAGAAATATAATAAAAAAGGTGGTAGAAATATTAGCTTTTATTACTCATATGAGGTGGTGAATTTTTTATTATTTTTATTTTCTAATTTTTTTGTAATTTATTTATTTATTAGGATAAATGCAACTGCCCGTTAAATTTATATAGCAAAAATTAAAAGATATTATATGTAAATAAGTAAATATTATACATGGGTTCAGAAACTGTATGCAAAAGTCAAACTGCAGAGAGAGAGAGAGAGAGAGAGAGAGAGATAGTTGGAGGGTTTATTTTATATATATATATATATATATATATATATATATATATATATATATATATATATCAATGTTACATCAGATTTGTTCCAAGTGTCAAGATATGTTATATTAGCCATTCCTAGAAATCACAGCCCTGCTTCTGTGTGCAATATTGGACAGAGACAACAGACCCACTTCATCTTCCATATTCAACTTCCATTATTCTAAATTGTCGACTTTATTTATGTGAGGCATTCCAGTTAATGCTCCAAATGTCCAAGAAAAAAATCCGTCTTCATTATGTTCAGTTGAATATGGTGGGTATGGGACTGCTGCATTTTGCTGGATTGGGAGACGATTTTCCATCATTTTGTCATCCATAATAGACGTTAATTTGTTCTTGGTCCCATCCATCAAATCGGCTTTCCCGCCACAATGCCCATTTAGACACCTTTGGTAGGAATTAACAAAATTTGCACTATGAGAGAAAATCATCACATCCGTCAATGACGGGAGATACTTCGTTTGAAGGGCTCGCGGGGCTCGTTAGGGCGGCCATTGCAATTGATTGGTTGTGATAATAGGGAGCGGAAACTGCAGATTCTAAGAGAATTTGACCAATTAATTGTTCTCATTCTGTTGTAAGGAAGTTTAAGACTGGATGAAAAAATGTCTTGGTAGCTGGGATGAACTGAATGTATTGTTTCAGAAGACATACTTGGATACCCTTTCTTTTTAATTGCTTCCTGGAATTTTGCCCATCCCTCATAGTGATTTGACTTTTATCTGTGATGAAATAGAAATAAGATAAGACAGGAGAGAGGGGTGTCCAAAATAGGTTTTGTGTTTTTAAGATTTAATCTTTGTTTAATTTTACAATTTTTCTCCAAAGAAAAAAGAATTAATGTTGAATATTACTACTGATGTGAAGCACCAGTTCATAGGAGTGACTGGGTTAGAGTAATGTTGATTTCTTCATGATTTTAACAGTTATGTTCAAAGAATATAAATATAAAATATGAGAGAGAGAGAAAGAGAGAGAGAGAGAGAGAGTGGAGAATAGAAATAAAACTGGTATCAGACTCTTTAAAACACACCCAACTCCAAGACTTTTGATGTATATCCTTGTTTCCTTCATTTCCCTTTCATTAAAAAAAATAATAAAGAATGCATACATCTTTAAAAGGTTCAAACATTATTCACTTGCAATTTTGTTTGTTTCTTCTGCAGAAAAAAAGGAGGTTTCTCAAAATATTTCAACACTGTTTAATTGTAAATTTATTTTCCTCTTTTCTTTTAGAAAAATAAAGATTTCACAAGGGCCATACACAGAGGGAGAGTGTGGTGAGAAAAAAGTTCAATGTCCAGAGGCCTTTTGTGGATGCCGAACACCAGAAAATTTCACAAAAACGGTGTGAAAATGAACTTATTGCCTTCAATAAATGGACATTTAGTGGGACAAAGATGGACATTAAGCCAGTGCTGGACACTCAGGACAAAGATGCACACAAAGTGAGACTTGGACATTAACTCCCCACTGGTCATTAAGTCAAACTGGCCATTGAGAATGTAATGGACATTAACAGGGGTCAGTTGACACCTGTCCTGGAGCTCTGGACAGGGGTGGGGCAGGGGGGGGGGGAAGGACAGTGTCCAAACTGGACGTGAGATTGACCATTGCTGGAGCAGATATCAGGTGACACTGGTGACGTGATGGACAGGTGGCAGGATTCAAGACAAAAATCTGGGATTGCGCTCCGAGATAATGTCAGAATTTGATGATCATTGATCTGTATTAAGAACCAAACATCAGTTAAAAGCACCTGTGTGTTTATTTTAATTTAATTTATTGTTCATAACTGTGATATACCTGAAAAACATTTAAGCCATCGCAATTAGGAAATAAATGTATAACATGTTTGAGTAATGAAAACAACAGCATAGAATTTTGAGGTGTCTTTGGACTGTGGTAAGAGTTGGTTACGGTTGACTTGTTTTTTTTTCCTTACACTGGTGAACATGCACTCAGTTTATTGGTGTTAACTAGCCCTCCCTGCCTCTCAGTATTAACCATAATTTATGTTGTCTCTTGGCTAGGTGTGGGGCAACACTGAATGGGAAATGTTTGAAATGTTGTTTTGCTGAAAGTTATTTTGTGTTTTTTTTTTTTTTTTTTTTTTTCTGAACTCATGTAAAGACATCATGTTTCATCAAATAAATGATAAAACAAATTGTAAAAGATTTTCTTGATTTTAGGGACTGAATAAAAAAAAAGTCATGCATTCATAATGATAAATAAATGGGATAGATACACAATTTCTCTGAAAAAGTGTGTGAAAAAATTCGTAGTTTTTCCTTCCTCTGTACCACTGCTTTATGGCTTTGAGTAAAATACAGAAATTCTGGTGATATACGAGTATGTTGGAAACAAGAGGAGGTTTGCCATTCAGTTAAGCTGGTTGCACTCAGCAAAAGTCCCCGCAGAGTTGGATTGATCTCCGTAGACGATGGTGTCTACGTGAATGGGGTCTAAGATCTCTCCCAGAGTTGAAAAGCATTCAGTGAACATTAGATATAAAATGTACTGATATAAATTTACCTCATTTGATTAAATACAACACCAATAGTACACTGAGATTGGAGGGGGGGTGAAGGGAATTCACCTTGATCCTCAGGGTATTACTCTGCTGTCCTAGACCTCAAACTGCAGGGTGTGGAAATACATGGCTCTGTTTAACCACTGATTGAATTAACAACACTTTTAAGTCACTTTTAATTGAATTTAGTTCCATTATACAAAATGATGTGCTGGCAAGACTCCAATTCTCATCATACTTCTCATTAATTGTGTTGAGTCAGTGAACTAATGTAGTATTGTTTGTTATAATTCCCCGGCTGAGGTGACAATAGAGAAGGCAGTGGAGAGGATGTTTGAGGAGAAGTGGGATGAAAGATGTTCATTAAGAGTTGGGCAACAGATGGCGAAGGCAGATCAAAGAAGATCATTGGGGAGTTGGATGAAAGAGAGAGGGAGGAAGGGAAGTCAGGAGGGGGGAGGAGAGAGAGAGAGGGAGGGAAGGAGAGAGGAAGGAAGGGAAGTCAGGAGGGGGAGGAGAGAGAGGAAGGGAAGGAGAGAGCCAGGGAGAAAAAGGGAGGAAGAGGGAGGGTCCAACCCACAGGCAGGGGTTGAGGTTGGAAAGCAGGGCCCTTTTGGACAGATAAAGTCTGCTCTGAGTTGAAATTTATATTTAGATTCTAAAAAATTTTTCAAGTTGGGATTTTGATCAGGTATAACAAACAACAGTGACACATAATGTAAAACATTTCATGTATTTCTTACCATGTGCACTGCAGTAGAGGGCATGTGGAAGGCTTTAACATTATTTAAATATCATTAAAATATGGTCCCTAACGATTAAATCAATAACTGATTGTTTAAAAATAAGCCTCTTGCCCACCAACACAACCATATTTGTTGAAGACAGCTCCTTCAAGGTCTTATTAAATGTAAAGTGGACAGTCATTTTCTGTCTTAAAAATAGCATAGTTTGAAAATCAGTTCAGGATTTTGACGTGTGCTTTTTGTAAAGAAATATTTTGCAGGTGAGGTTCAAATTAATCACATATTTAGAAGTGACTGCTTTATTATAGTTACACCAAAATATAACCTATTCTTTGTGGCAGGTTTTCAGCAAACAACTCAGAGTATGAAAATACTTCAAGAACTGAATCATGCCAATATTGAATTCCGACTAAAGCAATAGTATTTATTAAAGGCGGAGAGAACACAAAACATCCTGGCTGACATAGAAGCACATTTTTGAAAGCACCCACTTGAAATTCTGTAATATCTTCATGGAATTGTTCACTTAATCCCTCCTTGGCCTACAAAGAGACGGCGGATCAACCTGTTGAAAGTCACCTCTGACTGTTAACAAACCCCTCGAGTGTTTTTAACACCATTCTGATAGGCTGTCGTCTGCGAAATAATTTACCCAAATGTCTGCAATCTTGTGTAAGACATTCTTATTGAGCAGGATTTTGTTTGCAGGATTCCACCTGCGTTATTGTCGAGGTAGTTGTTACTCACAAAACCACTTTGTGGTCAAACATTTCCCATTTGATTAAAAACTCTGATTAAATTGAAATATTTGGATCTCCTGAATGCTGTGGTATCTTTCTGTTTTGTTTAAAAAAGGGCACCCACATTAAGTCCAGGTGCGAGAAATTTTTGTTGATTCTTTTGAAATAAATACTAATTTATTCATTTCTGTGGCACACATCCTGCCTTGATGTTTGCTGGAGAATGTTTAACTTGTGTTTCAGACGTGAGACGAAACACTGTTTACATTGTGTCAAAAATACTAATCTATTTTATTAACGTGTCAACATTTCATTTTTGCCTGTCAACCAATAAGAGGCGTATGAGAACTCTTAGTCACTTTTGCATAAGAGCTTCAGTACCTATTTTATGATAGAGAGATTTTTCCCCATTAGATGCTAGATATCTGGAAAAAAACATAGCTTTTATTAATTTTTTCACTTCTTAAATATTTAAGAAAAGCAGTAATTTATGCTACTTATCATTTGTAAAAGCCATCCCAATAATTTCATTTGGGTGTGAAGTCGCATCTTTTTACCAGTCAATAGTAATTTTTTTGCTCATCAACACCTTAATGACTTGCTTCCTGATGATATTAGAGACATTTTGTAAAATCCGTAAAAAAACTAGAAATATGTAACAACATAAATTATTTCTGACAGTCCATCTACAAATATTATCTAGATGATATTTTAATATCCACAATCATTACAGTTACAGAGAAGTTAACAATGACAATCTGGTGGTGAAATCAAGTTTTTCATCATCAGCCATCATTAATAGTACACCAGTACTTAGTGTGATTCTTACGGTGTCTCTCTCTCTCTAATGATGTGACATTTCTTTGTAATTTAAGGACCGTTTAGACAAGGCCTGCTTTGGGTGGACATTCATCCTGGCATTATCATGGGACTGTTTCTTCAGGCCCAGTTAAAAAGACAGGCACTGATTTAGCAAGGAGGTTCAGATAAAAAAAATAACTCAACTTGCTGAACCTAGGTGAATTTTATTTTTTAAAGATTTTTTTTTTAATTTTTGTAATTTTTTTTCACCCATTGTGGTTGAGGGGTCTAGGACCATTTGCAAATGACTCCCATGTGATACTTCTGGTATTTATGTAGTTATATTGTAGTGAGTTGGTATTATATCTAGTCTAGAGAAACATTATTGTTTACATTCTTGCCAAACTGTACATTTTAGCAAGCACGTGCTGTAGCAGAAGTTCCAATAAATATTTATTATGTTTGGCCAGAGCACAATAAAATTTCTGGCCTTAAAGTTAAGACCTCCTCTAAATGTACAATATTTTGTGAAACTTGTCTCTGTTATATTATATGGTCATCCTGTTATGGAAATTAGTCCAATTTTTGAAGTCACCTTCCTCATAAAGAATACTTGAGATAATAATGCCCTCCAGCCAACATCATCCATCTTGAAATTCCCAGGAGAAGGATGACCCATTCTGGTTGGAGGAAGAAATTAACCTCAGAAATTACCGCTTTCAATCACGCATTATTCATATTGCTGTGACTATAGATTGTTAATATTGTGCAGTTTTGGAAAGTTCCACTACCACACCTTTTCTTTAGGAAGAAAATCACAGGATGGTGACCTTGCCCAATGAAGGTAAAGATGGTCTGTTATTCAATAATAACCCACAGTAATAAAGATTTTAAGACTTTCAGTCACAGTATCAAATATGCTGAAGATATGGCATCCTTTAATAAGAAATACATTAACATTGACAAACGTTTTCTTTCTTTCTTTTTTTTCTTTTTTGGAAAAAGATCATCCTGTTTTCTAATAGGGGAAGATCAATGAAGGAAATGGGTTTACCACAGGAGTGAGAGACTTCAGAATAGCACTAATTACTTCAACATCTGTGGAACATGGTGTAAGCGGCAGCACTGACCAAAGAAATAAGACTCCAATAACACTTTGGGCCAACTTAATACTCATCATGAAGGCTGGAAACCCAGAGTTTTCCTGATTGAGTTAACAAATGCTTTCTGCAGGACTGCAATGACTGCAATGAGAAGAAATCTTGAGAAATACATATCTCTCTAAAAATGTTAGAAGAAAGTTAATCATGTACAGAGAATTTACGGATATCACTAATAATAAGTTTTCCGTTTTTGTTTCTTTGTGCATATGGCCATATGCTCAGGATGTCATGAATTTTCAAACATTTATATATATGATTGATATTATCCAGGCATTACAATTAAATTCTTTAAATTTTGATTATCATAAAAACCACAACTTTAAATCAAAAGATGGAAATGTGGGCAAACACAAATTTTATTTTAGAAAAGTAAAAAATTAGGCTTATATTTCCAGGTATTCAAAGTTTTCAATAAACATAGATGTGTTAATTAAAGTAATTTTATTACTTTTTTATATTTAATTTTTTATTATTTTTATTTTCTAATAGCTGCTTAGTTAAAAATATTATAAAAATGTCAAGAATTACCCTGATGGTTTTGAATATATAAAAAAATGACATTTTAATTTTTTTAATTTAGTTGTTTATTTATTTAGGGAGTGGAAGAGGAGGGAGGGAGAAGAGGCAATATTGTTTTTATTTCTTTTTAGAGAGGTGCATGGAAAAGATTTTGAAAAAGTCTGCAAAAGATCAAACCCAGGCAAAGCTGGCCTCAGAATGTGCAGGGCAGAGAGAGAAAGCAATGTCTGAAAACAAAAATGAAGCATGCACCTTCTGAAAACACTGGGCCTTCTTCCATCAAATGAAAGTCTTGCGTAAGGTTGACTTCTGCCATGACTTAATCTGCCTCATCTGTTGCATGCATTGAAGTAAATCTAGGCAAGCTGAACGAGGCTCTAACTCGTGCTCCACACAGCTCCCAATGTGGAAAGCACATGATGAACTGCAAAAAATTCTCTTTTCTGGATAAAAACAGTGTTTGTGTGGTATTTAGATAGGTGGTGCACAGCCCGTTAAGCCACCCAATGTGTGTTTTCATAAAAATATTTGGGCATTCTTGGCTTGATTGTTGATAAATGTGTAAAGAAGGTCGGCAGATAGTTTGTCCTACTAGTGTTCTCCCAGCTTGTAGAGCCATAGGAGAGAGAGAAGAAAAAAAAGAGAAATGTCACTCCAAGATGGCTAAATGACAGGAGCGTATAAGCTAGGCTCTGTTGTTCACAGCTGAAGTGAGGAAAATGGTATAACCTTTATACACAGGAAACGCGGCTCAAAAATACAGGGAGAGAGAGAGAGAGAGAGAGACAAGCCTGACTGAGAGGTGTGATTAGATACACATGATGCTGTCAGTGTGGCGAATTTTCTTCTTCATTTCCTTTTTTGAAGGGATTTGTTTAAGCACATTCAGTGAAACATATTTAGTATGGGACCTTTGAAATATGTCTTTGAGATGTTATGTATCTCTCTGAAGGTTTGGATCCCTCTGGATGGAAGTGGTGAAGACACTGAAAAAACTTCAAACAAGATCCAAAAGATTCAAATTTGAAGAAAAAAAATTAGTATAAAAAATAAACTTAGACACACCCCTCCCTCACTGAATATAGACACACTTAAATGTTGCATGAAGATTTTTAAAATTGGATTAAATCATGAGAAATACTCAAAAGAAATGAATATTATTATTAATAATCATACAGGTAAAAACCTAGAAAGCCCCCAAAAATTACAGACATTTTGAAAGAATATTGAAAAGAACAAGGAAAGCACGGTCCCCGCACCTAGCACGTCACTGCCCCGCCCACGTGTGAACTGATCTATAAATATATTAACAGCAGGCTGCTGTGTAGACCCAAACAGCAGCATTGAACTTAATGCAATCTCTCCCTACCGCATCCAGGTAACAAATTTGAAAATAAGAAACTCAATAGACACTGTGCGTCTCCGCCACCGGTTAACTGCGTGCTAAACTTTGATTAAGTTGGTCCTGTGTGATCGGTTGGGGCACGGAACACCACTTACGGTCGATATAGTCAATACACACCATTATCTAATATTGTGGCGTTTTCGGTGAGATATTGCCAGCTACTTGGGAGATGACACGTATGGCGGTGGCAATTGGGCCCACAGCCGGTTATCTGCCTTCCCCTGTGTTTACTCTTTGGGATACGGGGAGTTTACTCTCCAAGATGACACAAAAGCCCGATTTAGACAAATTGTTTTCCACTCTGACAAGTACCTGACATTTCTAAAGACGAGGTACAAGTTTCCGCAGAGCATTTTTTTATTAAAGGTTCCTTAAAAATATACTCGGGGAAAGTGCCGAGAAGTAGAAGCCTGTGGAATATCTAGAGTCGGGGAAAAATCTGCGGAGGTCGGAGTTACGATTCGATCTTCGATATTTTGCCTGTGATTCTTTCGTATGTTGACATGAAAGGGGATTTCAAAGGGCGTGAGAAACGATAGAAAACTAAACCTTACACAGAACCCTACATGCATAACATTCACTGACTGTACACATCTCTATATACCAGTAGGAAAAGCTATGTCGGAGTTCTCTGTGTGTCGTCTATATTATTTGCCTTTGATGATTATACAACGTACTAACTGCTCAGTTTTCTGTATGATTGTAGTTTTTTCTTCGGATAGTCACTTTAAACACCTCTGCATAGTTATACCCCCCCCCCCCGCCATAAACACACACACACACACACGCACGCACGCACGCACGCACACGCAGCTCTCTTCCAGGAAATGAGAAATGATGACAATTTTGGGCAGATTCATACTTTTGCAAACTTCAGAACAAAAAATCAACTGATTTTTACTTTACATGGAAAATGATGCTGATACAATACAATACAATACAATACAATACAATACAATAAATTCTATTTCATGTCGGTTATAAATTGAATGGAAACATTAGCTTTACAGCTATTCTCCGACTGATGACGCAGTGTGACGGAGTGCCCTGTCTTTTCTCCCTCTCCCCCTCTCTCTCTCTCTCTCTCCATAACCATGGTGACAGCCTGTCAAAACCAACTTGATCATAAATGAGGCATTGCTAGAATAAAATAGGCAAGTTTATTTCAATTAGAAGAAAAACTGTACAAAATGTTTGTGTTTACGAAACAAAAATCTAAAACAATCCGACCGATTCCATCATCTGAATGATCACTCATGTAAGATTTACTTTGGCAAACAAGATGTGGAATGAGAAGAGTCTTTTTCATATATTGTTTTCAATTCCCCAAATATAAATACAAGATGCCCATTCTTCATTCCATCACCTGTGTGCAATTAGCATCACATCTGCAAAAATATTTGCCAGCTACTAAGCAAAAGGCGAAAAATCTGGGAGAAGAATTCTTTCCTCTCTTTCCATCCTGTGGCTCAGAAATAAAACATAATGGAAGAAGATGGATGTAAATATCTCGCCAAATGGGTTACATGCGCCAATATGGAAGCAATTGGGCAAGGCCAGCGCATAAAAATGTACGTTACGCCGAAAATCTGACATTTTCTGATTAGCTGAATAAAACGTTAGTGAAAATAAGGTGATTTCGTAAGAATTAAAGAGGTTACAAGACGACCTCTCGGTGATACTGAAACATGTTTATAGTCTTTAAAGAATATCTCACATATTAACATTCAATGCATTGGACCTTACGGTTGGGTTCGAGGCAACAGGTCTTTTTTTAATAACTTCAAAGGAAATTTTCGGGAATATCAGAATTTGGAATGGGACTAAAATGGAACTGTGTGTAAGATAGGGTGGGGGTGGGGGGGGGGTTAGGGTTCTGCACCCGTATTATTGCAATCAAGGTGATAACGAATACGCTCCGACTGATGCAAAACTTCGAGGAAGTCGTGTTTTTACACAAATAAAATCTGCGAATTTGAACCAGCGTATTTGTAGGCCTACTTTAACCAGGATTTATCTGCTTTTGACACAATTTCAACACAGTTTCCTCAGTTTCCTTTGATCAAATATGAAATTAATACATATGTATAATGAATGTGAATGTAGCTTCATCTTAGATTAGCTAATGCTTTTATAATAGGTTGTAACTTTTGTAAAAATGTACAAAAACCAATAAAGATTGATTGATGTGGGCTCATTATTGCAGTTGTCTGAATGACAACTTGTTTTGAAATTTCCACGTCCAATCTTATTAATGGGCACAAAATCAGCAAGAGATGCCCGATGTCTAAACTTTTTGAGCAAAATCTTTTGTTTATATTTATTTTCTCTCTCTTTGATCATGAAGACCTTTATCCTTTTTTCCTGTTTATAAAGCGAGATATTCTTAATCTGTGCATCCCGCATTATCGATATATTGGACCATCAAAATGTTTAGTGAAAACATTCACCAAACCATACGAATATTTTCTAACAAAATCCAAGCAGCAAGAACGTTTGTTTCAGACTGTGTGGACTACATGCTACATGCTGGGTCTAGGCCTACATGGAAAAAGTTTTGTAACTTTCCTCTCCTCGCTGTATCATTTTAAATCATTTTGATACAGCGAGGACATAGAATTCGGGCCATAATTGGTGTAATTTGTAGATAAGATTTGGTATTAGAGAGTCATTGCAGTAGATAATTAGTGGGAATTTTACGATATCTCTTCCACCATGTCTAAAGCACGTCTCTTTTCTTAGAAAGCGTTACACCTGACTATGACGTCTAAATATCCCAGCTTATTTATCTATTCACAAAAATAATTTGTATCAAAAGGTGCGAAATGTTCTCACTTGCGACTTTCTCTCCTTCGTTTACGTCTTCGAGGCGCGTAATTCGTATTTACTATATATCGCGTCTGCTTAGAAGACATTCAACCCCCTGACACCTAAAGTAAATACCTCAAAATGTTCAACATTGAATTATTTACTCTGCCCTAAGCCCTGTCAAGACTATTCCTTTGCCAATAGCCAGACAACAAAACACTGAAAAAGAATGCTTGTATTGCTCTCATAATCTCTTCCCCAGGTGTTGGAAAAGCCATGTAACTATGGCGATGACACGACGCGAGCTTGAGAGATACTTTAATAAAGATTCATGGCAAAGAAATTAAGATGTCAGCCACTGGAGAAAGACAAAAATGCAATAAAGTTTTCTGCCTCAGTGAACATATTAAAGGGACTTACTCGCTCTGAATATTGATAGCTTCGTCATTAATCTGGAAAGGGCGGGGCGAATTGTGCCGAAGTCTTGAGAACCCGGCCGAGAAATAGGCTTTCTTTGATATATTCGTTATTGCGAAGATTGAAAGTTATTTCTTCTTGAAATATTTTTTGTTGGGCGAAACAATCCACGTAATAAGTCCGCAGCTGTAAAAATGACATAATTGTTTTTCATCCATTAACCGTTAGGCCTGGGTGAAAAATTGATCTGAAACTATTTCCCTAGCTTATTTTTCATCGCCAATGCATTGAAATTAATCAACCGACTGTGTTTTACACATTTGGTTGCGCGCGGTGACCTCTGGCAGCAGGGGTCGGCCACGTGACCGCGTCAGCCAATCACAACCCGGAATTCCAATGAATAGGAATGTATTTGGAGTGCGAACGTGGGACAGAGACACAATGTTGTGATCGTTCAATTCAGACACCATCCACTCTCAAATGAGACGATAGATCAAGTCACAATGATCGCCAACGAAACTTAGAACATTATAAGTATTGTGAGATGCACAGAGGAGTTAGTATTCGACAGTGATCGGGACTAAAAGAAGAGAAAACTTCGGCCTTCACAGCAGGACTGAATTCAACATGGCGGACCAGCTAAGCCATTGGGCTTTGGCACTCATGTTGTTCTCGGCGTTATTTTGGAGTTCTATATCAGCCCAAAGTGACCCCTGTCCATCTGCTTGTGGATGTCTAGGTTCTACGGTGGATTGTAGTGATCGTGGGCTGACGGAGATTCCCCAAGATCTTCCCCAATGGGTGACTGTGTTGTAAGTAGTATTTCTGTTGTGGTTTATTATCATGGCCGATCGCTGCGTCAACTGCATACATTGGTTTACAAAGTTAGTCAGTTTTCGGTCAAAGTTGGGTATATTCTCGTCTCGTTTTCTGCTTAACAACGTTAATTACAGCTCATAGCTGCTTAGGGTTACAATAGCATAAAAGGTGTACAAATACATGGAGTAGCTGAATTGTTGTGATATTTTACACATTGTAAACAATCTCCGAAAACTTATCAAATATGTATTTTCATAGACGTGAATCACCTTGCAAATTCGTCATTAGAATGAAGTTAAAAAGAGTATATTTTGGTTCAGAGTTTACTTAAACTGGTCAGATAGAAGGGTTAGCTGAGAGAGAGGAATGCTGAGAAGAGTTTTACAATTAACAAACACGGCATGAAATTGATCTGAAACAGTCTTTATTGAACGGGGCAGAGAGTTCAGCTTTCACTCCTTGTGTTATAAGTGTTATGTGGATGGAATCTAAATTCAATAAATTTGTTAAGAGATATTTAGAATATGACAACTAGAGTGAAAACAGCCTTTTCAGCTGGACATTGATTATTTGATTATTTTTGATGACCGAGTTGACATATTTTCTGGAATCAGTGAAATGAAAAAGAAACAAATGTCCCAGCATTGTCTACTCTCATAGCCTTTTCGGTGTCTGTATAACAAGAAAAACTGTGTTTTAGATATATATACATATTATTAAAAAAATATATATGTAAGCTTAAAAATGTAATGAAGGATGAAAAATTAGAAATGATCAGAGTAGACAGCCCAGAGAAAAAAGATGCTAAATATTCAGGAACTGAGCACTTCAGGAAGAATGTTCTCACATATTTTAATAGACCAGCTGTTCGTCTTATCCGTCTTCTGCTTTTACCAGCTTCTCTTTACTATATAGAAATTGTCTCAGGGATGAAAATGTGCAACTCCCATAAAAAAGTTCTTCTAATAAGTAAAAGAAAGAAAAAAATTTAAAGGGGATGTAACACCTGCAAGTAAATAGTTTCAGCAATATTTTTCAAGGAATATTATGTCCCTGATTATGGCGGGGTCACTGGGGCCGAGCAGGAGAAACAGCCACTCTCCAGGTGCAAAAAATAAAGGTTTCAGCTTGATTTCCCCTATGCAGCAACCATGAAAGGCTCATGGGTGATATTGTTATTGTTTTCTCACTGGTGTGGGAAGCTATTGTGTGGGGTATTCATACCAGCCAGCTGCATTGAATGGCCCCGGCTGTTGTGATACCCCAGCTCAACGCAATCCAAATGTGAGTGCCCGGGTTTGAGGGAGAGGCAGGAAACCTCTGCTCTTTTCTCTATTGGCGCTATGTTGTGTCAGCCGGAGAAGTTCTGTTTATTAAGCTGCATTCAATTCTAAGGCTCTGCCAAAAACGGCAACTACAAACATGGACTTAGGGAGAAAAATATTACATCTATTTAGCTGTGCAGCTTGGAGAATTCTGCAAAGTATTGAAGCCATGCCGCTCATCTGTACCTAGTTCCCATAGAAAAACACCATTCATCGCTTCTCTTGCTGCTCTTGCCTGGCCAACACATGATGGGTGTTTTTTATGGTTTCCTGAGGCCAGGATAGAGAGTATGTGTCTGTACCACAACATGTACAGTTCAGAATGAATCAAATGAATTATACACTGTTTGCGCACTTGAGTGTGCGTGCGTGTTTGAGAGAGAGAGAGAGAAAGAGAGAGGAGTTTCACCAGTGTTGTAAACCACCTCCATGAAACATTCATTACACACTCACAGGGCCCTGATGTAAAAAATTAACACACTGTTGTCTGTGTAGTGTAGTTATATCTTTATCCATTCTCTGGTCTCTAGAGATGTTTCATCTTGGCCAGGGAATGTGTATAATCAATGCTACTAGATGTTCCTCACTGTTCAATCCAGCCTGCAGGTGAATTGAGCAATAAATCACCACCAAATAAGTTGTTCTTCGTTAGGTCCAAATATCCATCCCCAGATTGGCCATATAACTGATGCAGATGTCCTGACCCTGAGTTCTTAATAATTGAATATGCTGAAATATTCTTCTTATGAAAAATGTGAAGACGTTTTGCCTCATTTCTCACTGACAGCTTGGTTTTTTGAAAATGATTTTAATCATGTTTGGGTAATAGGTTATTTATGGTATATTCCTTTCCATGGATGAAGTCAGTTTGTGGATATGGTTTAACAATTTTTATTTTAATTTCAGGGATATTCAAGGAAACCAGTTGTCTTATATTCCACCGACTGCATTTGAAGGTTTTCCAAATTTACGTGAATTGTAAGTACTGTTGTAAACTTTAAGTTAAAATGAAAATAAATGCCAAAGCATGAGGCATGTAAGTGATTACTGACACAAAATGTTGCAGAATTTATTGAAGGAGGTTTTCATGTGTTCAAAATTAACTGTTGGGAAATATTTAATCAATGCCCCCTTTATGACTCTTATCAAAGAGAATGGTATTTGTAAGTATTCTTTAATAACTTTTTATTGAAAACACAATGTATCATTTTAACAATAGAGATTAATCCTAAAAGATGCCTTCTCTTTACGCTGGGCTATTGAAGTGTTCATTTTCCCCCCAGACCCCCTCTCTATCAAACCTTTAATGTATTCACACATTTGTGGAAATTTCAAGTGGGATTTTCTCTGTATTGGAAGTGAACATCTGCAAGTAGGCCACACTGAATTAAAACATACAAGCACAAAGATTGTTATAAACTATTTAAAAGACCAAATGTATTGAGTCATTCATAGGGAAAACTCTTTAAATGTTTTCTGGCTTTTGTTACTGGCTTAAAGTGTGTACTTTATATACCAATAAGTTGTGTGACAATTCAGTTGAAATGCTTGCCACCTTTATTGAAGTGTTTGGCGGTTGCAGTGTTCACCACTTCACTAACACCTGGGCGGCCACCAAGAACGTGCAGAACTTTATTTATTGTTGTTCAACTGAAAGGAGTCTGTGGAGCTTGTTCCCACTTCCCCATGCTTATATATTGAAAGGGGTGGTGGTGGTTGGGGGGGGGGGAGGGAGATGTATCTCTGATGTTCCAAAGAAAGGTACCTTATTCCTGTCCCTGGTTGTCAAGTTGTTGTCTAGATCTGTGTGCTCATTCAACAGGGCTGTTTTCTATTCTATCTGGCTGTCTGGGCTCTTTGACATGCGGGGTGCTTGGTGAGCAATAAGCGAGGAGTAATCCTACCATTGAAATGCGGGGTGTGAAAAGATTGGCAGGAATAAAGGCTTAAATGGTTGTTGTTGTCACTGAAGCAGAAGTGAGTACAAAGGGGTGCAGTAAAGCATCACTTGCCCCCCTTTTGTCCCCATGTCACAGAGGACCAGGGCTTATTAAGACCAAAATATTAATTTTTTTTCCTTCTCTTCTTCTCGCCCTCTCGCCAACATCCCCCATTGGTGTTCTTACGTCTTGGTCCTCCTCGGCTTTCTTATGTGGGTGATCTTAGAGACTACAATTACTGGATGTGATATGTGAAGGGAGGGGTCATTATTTGGCACAGTTATAGTAGGGAGGGGTTATTAGCTGGCAACCTGTACATTTCAGCAGGTGTAGAAGCATGTGGAATTATACAATGGTTGTGAAATTTGAAAAGACAGATAGATGTTATGTAAAATTGCCATGGTTACGTCATATTGTTGGGTTAATGAAGTGATGCTCTGGGTGGTTATTACTAAGATGGGAGGTTGCTCTATGAAGACCAACGCTGGTGATGACATCTTGGTGGTGGTGTAATGACTAGTGTCATTCTGGAAGACCGAGGGAAAGTACAGCTAACCATCACTTACATGTCATCTTAACCATGGTATCATAGATTAGGCTTGTAAAATTTGGGAATAATTGATGCTCCTATCAGATAATGATGCCATTCCTCTCTCCCCATGTTCCTCCCCCCATCATTATGTCAGTGCAGTGATAATTACACCTCACGGTTGTCTTTATAGCCTTAAAATAGACATTGGAGCTGGTTTACACTGTATGCTCATGTTAGGGCATTTCATTAGCTTAGAAAATGGGATTCTGCTCGTCTTTTGAAAGAACTGGCACTTTGAATAGTGTACTGTATTTCCCTATTAATAAAAAGCTTGTTTGTGTTCAACTTACTTGGAATTGTAAGTGATGGTTAAACCAGTAAAAAAAGTATAGCTATCACTTGTGGAGTATTACATTTTCATCTTATTAATTATTTATTTTGGTATAATAACACTGAAAAATGTTGCCTCTCTGTCTCCTGTTGGGTTCTAGATATGATTTTCCAGGCAGGAGTCAGTCACTGCTATGTGATATGGTTACTGTGGTAGATTGACTGTGTTAGTGGCTGTGGTGTTTACAACAGTAGTGAGATATTTGGCGCCGTGAGGTGTTGCTCAACCCTCTCAATCCCAACCTGAGGATACAGTGACGTGAATGCTGATGTAAACTCTTTTCGGGAACTCGCTGCCTGTTTCCAGTTTACCACATTGTAACTGCAGTTTGTAGAGTTGACTTCTATTTTAGGCACAAGTGAATTTAGGGTGTAGAGATTAAGGTGGATTTTGTCCTAATTAGGAAAAATGATGTTTGTTTTTTTATCACAAAAATTATCATTTTGCTGCACATGGGAAATACTTCAACTAGGTAGGAATAGTGATGGCAGGGTGGTTGAGTTGGAAAGAGCCGTTTAAAGGAATACTTAAGAAAGTGTCACTTCTAAAGAAAAGTTACAATTAACTCCTGAGCTTGCCGTCCCTAATATAAAGGGATTATCATAAAAGAGAGTCACAACGGACAACTGCCAAGGTTTTATGAGACGAGGTTAATAAGCAAGCTGTTACAAAAGGTCCTCCTGACAGCTGATTGTCAAAGATGATAGATTTATTTTCAATCGCTATTGATACTGTCAGCTAAGGTGGTGCCCCCTGTGGGGAGGCTTTTGACAGAGGCGAGAAAGTCACAATGAGGATTCTACCTCATAGGCCCCTATCAATTATATTCTCATCAGCCCTGTTGCTGAAACCGAGAGATGACTCCAGAGATACAAAAGAAGTGCAATTTTCATAACAACGGGGTCGCCCTCTCACCAAGAATAGCTTATGTGCCTTGAATAAATCCCAAATAATGATTCTTGCTAGCTACTTTTTTTTCAATATGTTGATTCTTGAATTTTTTTGGTCTGGATTCAAATTTTTGTCTTTGAAAAGAAGTAAAGAAAAGGTGCGTGTGATGCTGCAAAGAAAGAAAAAAGAACAATACACCCTTCAGACAAATTTATTAATTTGTTACCATTTTTGTCCAAGATTGGAATTGAAGGCATTTTCCCAATTCCATTCCTTTCTGCCTAGTATCCCACTTCCCTCACCACATATTGAATAGAAGTTTTTTGCGGGATCATGGGCTCCAGTATTTATTGCGAAGAGGCTTACAAAGAGGTATCAGTCTCCAAATGGGAGGGCGGCTCGTGTGGTTTTCTCATGCACCGACTGATTGGTGGGCAAGAAATGTGCGAAAAAGCTCCCAGTGAACTGGTGGATTGAAGCAAACAGCTGCGAGCCCAGTGCATATATCACCTATATCAACCTACATGGCTGGGAGTTCTTATTTCTATGAAATGTTACCGCATATTAATGGCTATGATTGGTTTTTCATTCCTACTTAACCATCGGGAAGTGCTGTCCCAGCTTTTAAAAAAAGGAAGAAAAAAAAACAAAAAAAAATTAAGTGGTAGGAAAAAAATGTGCTTGCAAAAAAAAAATTGGTAATTGGTGAGAAAGTGTTAGAAAGAAACATGCCTGTAAAAATGACAGAGTTAGAAAAAAAACTTGATTGCAAAAAAAAAAAAAAAAGTTCAGTGGCTGAAGTGCTGATGTGTATTTTGGTTGATGGAGGTGGTGTGAAGTCACCTGTAGAAGTGAAGATACCTAGGAGCCTGTATTCCACTTAACCTGTCACTTCTTATTAACATAGAGGCTCCTTAAACCTTGGGATATAGTCAATGAATTTGGGGGGGGGGGGGGGGCTTTACCTCTTATCATTGAGAAAGAGATACACTGAATGAGTGGTATTAATTGTTTTATATAAACAGTTAAACTAGGATTTCAGTTTATAGTTCATGTCTGAATTTATCAGAGAATCACTGTTACTTCAGGATGCTTTTTTTCATAGATTTTAATAGCAAACTTGGGATACGTTTTGATGTTGTTCTCAAAGGAGGAGTAATAAATTTTTTGAAAAGGGATTTAGTGAATAAAATGGACCAGGTTGGAGGGGGGGGGACATTGAATGGGGTGTGGGAAAGGGGGGGTGGGGTGAGATCAACATATTGCCTTGCAGAAGGGACCTATATTTCAGGTGTTCCAGGAGAAGTTAAAAGAGACAGGTGTGCATTCTTCTAGCATAGGTGGCTACTTACTGGTTAGATTGTATTCATTTCTATGTAGCAATCATTTCTGGATTGCAATCACATCCAGGTGCCAAGTAATAAGAGGTAGAATTGTCAGCTCACTTTAACCAGTAATAAAGCAACATTGTGACCAGGAAAGAAACATTGTATCAATTGTGACCAGGTGAGGTAATTGTCCAGTTGTCCACACCTGGACAGAGGGGACAATTAAGACTGATTGAATTTTAAACCTTAATTAAGGAAACCTGTCAGCTCCATATCACACCAGTAGATCTTGTTACTGATTCTAATCCACAATCAGGGCCCAGTGTGGCTTGGTTAGATAACAAGTGGTGGATAGTGACCTAGGGTGTAATTACATCCATGTGGCAGGTCCTGACAGGTGTCATGTTAGGCCCCAGTTGTGGATAATTGCATGTTTAACTTACCTTTTTTGAACTAGCCTAATTTGTCCAGTTTTGATTTATACAAACTTCAAGGACCAATTACAACAGTTTTTGTTTCTGTCATGACTTGAAGAAAACTGATGCTGGTTCTGATGCCTGTGACATCATATTACACCACAGATACTCTTCGTACATGATACAATCAAAGCACCATGTTGTGGTGGCAGCCATGTTTGTCCTGACCTAGCTACTGGTTCCACTTCACTGATTTGAGTGATTGATTCTGAAACAACTGAACCTTTACAGGTGTGAGGTTCAATTTGTAAATCAATATTTAGATAATTTTTCTGTTTCGGATAGTTTGTATTATGCCTATATGATAGAGTAAAAAAATTAAAGCTTTGTCTTACTGATTTTTCCCTTTATAATTTTTTTGTGATGAGAAGATAAAAATGTTGGAATTGTTGAGAGGGAGCAGAAGGTTACAGGGGTATCTAGGAAAACAAGATTGGCTTTAACTGGAATGAAATTCAGGGTAATTCAATCACAAGTCATGTTAACATATTTTGATCTTTTAACCTGCATTGATTTTGTCTGACCTAACTCAGCACTGTTCTAGGACAAGTGATTGCTGGAAGTGGGGGAAGTGTGTTGATTTATTGTTCCAGCTAATAAGGCACATCTTTATTACTTTGTAGGCAATTCATCAATTTAATTAAAACAAATGTGTTAGATAGTCTGGCATAGGGGCGCAGATAGCTAGAAATCTTGTGACCTCAAGCGGCTTATATCATACTGCTGTGGTTGAAAACAGGACTAATCTAGATAACAACTTGTCTAATAGATAATCCTATTCAAAAGGACAAATTACAGAGCTTTCTTTATGGTAAGACTTGGTTAGGCCCCATTTGTGGTCACTGGTTAACTTTGGAGTGAATCTTGTAGAAAACAGCAGAGGTAATAAAATCTATCTGTACTATCCCCCCTGTCTCTCCTGGTGGTATGCTTGGTTACCTCTCTGCCCATTACAGGGTGAGGATAATCACTGAAATTGGTATTTAATGGTTTCATTCCTACTTAGGTTCTGGTATGGAGAGAGTGGGGAAACTATTGTGTTAAGTTGAAAGTGGATGTTTTTGAGGGTTGTGGGGGTGTCCCTTGGAAACTCACGGGTTTAATTAACTTAAGAGTAGCGTGCTATTTCTTCTCACCTGGTCATTTACAACTTTGAATAAATTGTGATGAACTGTGATTTAAAATTTAATTTTATAGAGGTATCAGGGCCAGATGTTAACTGTTGCCATCTGGTAGCTCTGTATGTATAGAAGAAATCAAAATGTGGTGGAAGACTTCATATAAATTTTTAAAAATTGAATATGAAATCCTTATATTTCTATATTAAATTAAAGAAAATATGTACAAAATGGACAGAAAACTTCAATCTCTGTTTATTTGATTCAGAATTACAGAATGTATGGTCTTATTACTGTTTTTTTTTTTTTTTTTTTTGTATCTGTTTGGTCTTCTGAAAAAATAACAAAGAAAGAAAAAAAAAAAAAAAAAAGTCAGTTCCCTAGCTTAGCTGACTAGGATTTCCATGAGAGTGCTGTTATACTGCTCCTGATAGGGTAAGATGTGCCCATGTGACCATGTAACCTTGGTAATTAAGTT